TGTTAATGCTTTCTGCACTGCATATGAAGCTCTATTCATCAAATGTCCACGGTGAATATCTAGTTAAATGTGGATAATCTGGCTCCAGCGGAGAGGCAGGCAGCTAGCTTGAAGGACGTGAGCCTCGGAGTTTTGCCCACGTGGGGCAGGTGGCAAATTCCGGAGGAGGAAGGGACACCCCATCCTGATCAGGAGAAGCAGCCTGTGGTTTGTGGGCCCGAGACCCTCTGGGTCATTTGGGGGCAGAGAGATATAAAATAAGGGGGAGATAGGGAGGGAGGTTGTTTTTGGCAGCTTTGTTGAAGTATGATACACAATAAACTGCACGTATTTAATGTGTGCAGTCTGGTAAGTTTGACAAGTGTCTACACCTGTGAAACCATCACTGGAATCGAGAGTGAACACGTCCTTCACCCTCGGAAGTTTCCCCGGGCCTTTTCTAATCCCTTCCTCACATCCCCCCAGCCCCACACAACCTCTGACTTGTTTTCTGTCCCTTTAGATTAGTTTGCATTTTCTGGAATTTTATATAAATGACATCATATACCGTATGTTCTCCTTTTTGTCTGGCTCCTTTCACTCAGCAAAATTATTCTGAGATTCATCCCTGTTGTTCTGTGCATCAATCGCTCATTCCTTTTTATTGCCAAGCAATATTCCGTTGGGTGGATCTAGCGGTTTGTCCATCCGTGGGCCTGTTGATGGACATTTGGGCTGTTTCCAGTGGGGCCTGTCACAGTAGAGCTGCTGTCAGCGTTCCTGTACCAGTCTCTGCATGATGTGTGCTCTCATTTCTCTTGGGTAGTGCCTAGGAGTGGAATGGCTAGGTCAGGTGGTAAATGTCTGTTTGGGCTGCTACAACAGAAACACCAAAGACTGGGGGTCTTCCACAACAGACGTTTATTTCTCACAGTTCTGGAGGCTGGAAGTCGGAGATCAGGGTGCAGGCTGATTGGGTTTCTGGTGAGGACCGTCTTCCTGGTTTATAGATGGATGCTATCTTAGTCCTTTTGAGCTGCTATAATAACCTACCACAGACTGGGTGGCTTATAAACAACACACATGTATTACTCACAGTTCTGGAGGCTGGGAGTCAGAGACCAGGTACCAGCACGGTCGCTGAGGGCTCTCTTCCAGGCCAGACTTCTCGTTGTATTCTCACGTGGGGGCAGGGGCTAGGAATCTCCAGCCTCTTTTATAGGACACTAATCCCATTCATTTCATAAGGGTTCACCCTTATGACTTAAGCACCTGCCAAAGGCCCCGCCTTCCAACACTATGACATTGAGTGTTAGGATTCCAACAAGTGAATTTTGGGGGGACACGAACATTCAGATCGTAACAGATGCCTTCCTGCTGTATCCTCACATGGCAGAGAGAGAGAGGAAGCAAGCCCTCCCCAGTCTCTTCTTATGAGGGCACTAATCCCATCATGAGGGCCCCACTGTCATGACCTAATCACCTCCCAGAGGCTCCATCTCCAAATACCATCACCTTGGGGATTAGAGTTTCAATATATGGATTTGGGGAGACACAACACTCAGTCCATAGCAGCAAATGTATGTTTAACTTTTTAAGAAACTGCCAAACTGTTTTCCAGTGTGATTGCACCATTTATGTTCCCAAGAGCAGTGGATGAGCTGCCCGATACCCCCACCAACTCTTGATTCGGTCCCTCTTCTTAATTTTAGCCATCTGGATAGGTGTGTGGTGGTATCTTATTGAGGTTTTCATTTGCATTTCCTTAATAACTAGTGATATTTAGTATCTTTTCATTTGCTTATTTGCCACCAGCATATCTTCTTTAGTGAAGTATCTGTTCAAATCTTTTATTCATTTTTCTTTGGGTGGTTTGTTTTCTGATTATTGGGTTTTGAGAGTTCTTTTATATATTCTGAATACAAGTCTTTTTATCAGATAAGTGATTGCCTATGTTTTATCCCAATCTGTGGCTTCTTTTTTCATTCTCTTAACACTGACTTTCCAACTCCATGAGTTTTTAATTTTTTTCAAGTCCAGTTTATTAATTTGTTCTTATATGGATTATACTTTTGGTTGTGTATCAAGATTCTTTGCCTAATGCAGAGTCCCAAAGATTTTCTCCTATGTTTTCTACTCGAAGTTTTATAGTTCTAGGTTTTACATTTAGTTCACTGATCCATTTTGGGTTTTTTTCTTCTTTTCTTTTTTTGTACTTTGGTGAGGAAGATTGGCCCTGAGCTAACATCCCTTGCCAACCTTCCTCTTTTTGCTTGAGGAAGCTGCTGGGCTAACATCTGTGCCATCTTCCTCTATTTTGTATGTGGGTCGCCACCACAGCATGGCTTGATGAGCGGGGTGTAGGTCCATGCCTGGGATGTGAACCTGCAAACCCTAGGCCGCTAAAGTGGAGCATGCAAACTTAACCACTACGCCGTGGGGCCAGCCCCCTTTTCTTTTTTTTTAATATGGTGCAAGGTATGGATTGAAGTTATTTTTTGTTTGTTTTTAATATATGGATATCTACTTGTTCCAACACTGTTTGTGAAATGATTATCCTTTGTCCACTAAATTAACTGCCTTTACATTTGCTGCAAATCAATTGCCTTTACATTTGCTGCAAATCAATTGACCATATATATGTGAGTCTATTTTTGGACTCTATTTGGTTACATTGATCTGTTTGTATAACTTAACACCTATGGCATACTGTCCTGATTACTATGGCTTTATAATAGGTTGTGAAGTTGGAGAGTGTAAGTCCTTCCCCTTTGTTTGGTGTTGTTTTTGTTTGTTTCAGAGTTGTTTTGGCTATTCTGGGTCCTTTGCATTTCCATATGCATTTTAAAATCATCTTGTAAAGTTCTACAAAAAAACCTGCTGAGATTTTGATTGAGATTGTATTGAATCTGTAGATGGATTTGGGGAGAATTGACATTGAACAGTACTGAGCCTTCTGACCCACAGTTACAATATGTCTCTCTTCACACAGGTCTTTCTAATTTTCTCGCAGCAGTGTTTGGAAGTTTTCAGTTTACAGGTCTTATACAGCTATTGTCATGTTTATCCCTAAGTATTCCTTGTTTCTTGATGCTATTGCAAATGGCATTTAAACATCTTTTACATTTCTGAATGTTGGTGGCTAGTACATAGAAGTATAATTGCCTTTTGTATATTGACCTTGTATCCTGTGACCTTGCTAAAACTCATGGATTAGTTGTAATGGCTTTTTTTGTAGATTCCACATGACTTTCTATGTAGATGATACCGTCATCTGCAAATAAAGACACTTTTATTTCTTCTTTCTAATCTGGAGACCTTTTATTTCTTTTTCTTGCCTTATTGCACTGACTAGGACTTCTAGTCCAGTGCTGAATAGGAGTGGTGGGAGAGAACATTCCAGCCTCATTCCTGATCTCAGGGAAAGTGTTCAGTCTTTCATCAATAAGTATGATGCTAGCTGTTGGTTTTTTATAGATGCGTTTTATCAGGTTAAGGCAGTTGCTTTCTATTCGTAGTTTGCTGAAAGTTTTTGTCATGAACGGGTGTTGAATTTTGCTCAATGCTTTCTCTGCATCTATTGAGATAACCATATCGGGTTTTTTTCTAACTGATATTCAAATGGTGAAGCAGCCTTGCATTCCTGGGATAAATTCCACTTGCTCATGTTGTATTATCCTCTTTATTGTTGTTGGGATTGATTTGCTAACACTTCGTTAATAATTTTTACATGTGAGTTCAAGAAGAACCTCGCTGGTTGCTGGCCACCAATGGTTTGGCTGGCTCTGAGTGAGGGGTGCCTATCCCCGTCAGGCAGGCTCAGGGGGTACAGACGTGGCTGTGCAGAACTGCCCCCTCATCGGCTGTGGGTAGTGGTGATTCCCACAGAAGGAAACATTAGGCCAGTGGGCACCCCAAAACACGTCTCCCATATGCATTTGTGTGGCCCTGGAGTTCCTGGGAGAGTGTCATCTCCCATCTCCCCACCCTAAATATCTACCCTGCTGCTGGTGTGGCCATCCCATCATGCATTGGAGAGGGTCCTGAATCAGGGAGCTGGGATTTGAGGGCACGTCAGTGTGGCCCAGGTCACTGCTCCTCCTGATGGCACAGTGGGGACATGTATCAAGGGCCAAAAATATTCCGACCTTTGAAAATTCCTGCCCACTATCCCTGTTTTTAGAGTCTCTCCTATGGAAGTACTTTGTATTGTGGAAATGACTTTATCCACAAAGATATTTATTGCAGCATTGTTCATTAATCGGAAAAGGGTGGGGATAAAAGCCAAATTTCTAAGAGAAGGGGATTAGCTGAAGAAATACCATTATGTCTGCTGAATGGAAGACTCTACAGCCATTAAAGGAGTGATTTATGAAGATTGTAGCAACATCAGAAAATCTCCATGTATCCTGAAGTAAAAGTAGAAAAACAGGTTACAGAATTCCACCTATACTATATAAAAAACTTATTTTTAAAAGGAAAGCTGGGGGCCGGCCCAGTGGCGCAGTGGTTAAGTTCACATGTTCCACGTTGGCGGCTTGGTGTTCACAGGTTTGGATCCCAGGTGCAGACCTACTCAACACTCATCGAGCCGTGCTGAGGCAGGCATCCCACATGGAAGACCTACAACTCTACAACTATGATACACAACTATGTACTGGGGCTTTGGAGAGAAAAAAAGAAAAAAAAAAAAAAGAGGAAAGATTGGCAACAGATGTTAGCGCAGGGCCAATCTTCCTCAAAAAAAAAAAAAAACCATGAAGCTAATGTGCACAAAAGGTAACTATTTTCTGGGCAATGCCATTCTTTTTCTTTCTCTAGTTTCCAAAATGTCTTGCTTGAGTATAAAAACTCACAATTAAGAGTGGGAATAGCAGAGTTTGCTGTCTCCAGGGCACCGCCCTGCTCAGCCGGGCTGGGGAGAGCTGCCAGGCGCCTGCTGGGTGGGGCCGCGTGCATCTCATCACCAAGTCCTGTCTCGTTGCTATGTCCAGTCTCAGCGCCAACCCCCTGTCTTCCAGGCTTTGGGAACCATCACTGCAGTGCCTGTCACGGGTCCTCAGGTCAGCTCCTTGCAGAGGTTGGCCGGGCAAGGAGTGGCAGTGCTACCTCAGGTAAGCAGCCTGTGGGCAGGCCCCAGGGTGGATGTCTGTCTGTCCCCAGAGTCTCTGTCCCCAGGCCCTCAGCACTGAGGTTTTGGGTGGGCACTGAGCTGGGTAGGACTCACTCGCTCTGGGAGCCCCTTCCCTCTCCCGTCCTCTGCCCGTTTGAACCAGACCCGGTTTTTTGCACAGTGAGGAATTGTGAAATCAGTGTAGTGGGTCATCACCAGGATTTTCTTAATGGGATAAGCTAGGCGGGACTAGCATAGAACAGAAAATATCAAGACACATCGTAAGCATTGTGTCTTGAATAACTTGCTTCTGGACTGGGTCACGAGGTAGCGGAGATTTTAAACTATGGGTCGCAGTCGAAAGAGTGTGAGAAACTCTGGACAAGGTGAGCATTTCAGGAGGCGGCACAGATGCTGGCCGGGTGTCCTGGGTTCCAGTCCAGGCCGCTGACTGGGCTCTGCACTTGGAACGAGTCACTGGCTCTTAACCTTCCTGAGTCTCCCCTCTTGCAGACGGGCTGGTGCGGATGCCTCCTTGGCCCCGTGAGGGCTGGACCAGACGGCACAAAGCCCTATAGCCGTGCCTGGGACAGAGCAAATGCCTGCTAGTCCTTAACCAGTGCTCAGCTTTGTCGAGTGCCTGCTGTGTGCGTGGGGCTGCAGGACTGGACAGGTGCCCCCAGCTCGAGGTCAGTGAGGGGCAGCTGCTCTGGGCCCTCTTGTCCTTGTGGCAGCCTTCACTGCGTGCCCACCTGTGCTGAATCCGACAGGGCCCTGCTCCTAAGAGGCTCAGAGTCCGGGTGGGGACAGACAAGGAAACAGACACTTTGAACCCAAGGTGATGGGGCTGAGTCAGAAGGCTACACAGGGGTAGGAGCCCTGAGGAGGCCCATAGCCCACTTGAGGGTCAGGGAGGGCTTCCTGGAGGAGGTGGTGCCCGAAGCAGGCCTCAGAGGGTGGGAGGTCTTGGCAGGCCGAGGTGGAGGCAGGCCCCAGAGAATGAGCCCCCCCAAAGAGGGATCGTCAGGCACAGGCACAGGGATGAGATGGAGGCAGGGGCACTGGGGAGGCCAGAACCACAGTCCTCGCAGCACTGGGAGGGGGAGGACAGAGCAGGCAGGGGTGGAGACATCGACAGGGGCCTTTTGGGGGCCTCGGATATCAGACCACGGAGTTGGGCTTCGTCTGTCAGTGACCTGAAGACAGTGGGGAGCTGTGGAAGGCGTTCGAGCAAGGGAGGGTCAGGATTGGGGCTTCTGATCTCGGTTGGTGCTGTTTTCCTAGGAGGTCTCACTCCCACGCTGTCCCCTCACTCATGAAAGTCCGAGGCCCGACCCGTGTCTCCACCCCGATCTGTGCGCACGCACAGGCACACTCAGGCGTGTGCTGAGTTTACACAGTCACTCATTGGGGAGTGTCGGCCTCTGCACCTTCCCCAACCTTCTTCCTCTCACCTTGCTGCTCCTGGGCTTCTGTCGCCGTGTTTGCTGTTGCTGTCCCCTCCCAGCTAACGTCTGGACCTGCCATTGACTTGGTGGCCTCCAGGTGGGTCAGCTCAGGCCAGAAGGTGCCCAGTGCACACCTGGTCCAGCTGCTGGCTGCTCCTGTCACAGGGAGGCACGTGGGGAGCAGAATAGGCAGCCTGTGGAAGGGTCTGGCCCAGTGGGGACCGAGCATAGGCCCAGAGAAAGGGGAGAGGGTGGGCATGGGGAGGACCTGGAGGATCCTGCAGGAGGAGGACCGGGCCTGGCTCTGCACACGTCTCCATGTGGCACCGGCTCAAAGGTCATGGGCTCTGGGATCCCCTGAATGTGTTCTCTCTGGGTTGGAGGCCCATGTGTTTGGGCCAAACCCTGAGCCCCTGGCAGAGCTTATGTTCAGAGTCTGGTCCCTACGGTCTGCAGCCAGCTCACCCACATTCAGGGTCCAGATTATGTAGTGTTAGCCGGCCAGCGTGAACCACAGCACGTGGGCAAACCCTGAATGACCGGGAGGAGCCAACAGAGCACAGGACGGCCCTCCCCAAGGGGAGCCGGAGATCGCAGCTGGGGTCCTCGTGACCACCACTCACCCCATCTGCCCCATCTGGTCCTCTTCCGAGGCAGAGAGCAGCAGTTCCCGAGCTGGGGATGACCTGCAGAAGGACCAGAGGAAGGATTCTTTCTGTGATTTTCCACATTCAGTAGGGGTGTTTGTGTTGAGCTCTGAGCCTGCCCACTGGTGCCAAGGACAGAGCGGGTCAGGATGGTCCCACCCCAGGCTGACCGCACCCCCAGGGCAGGCGCGAGGCCCTCAGCATCCCTGAGGCCCCTGGTGGCGGGGAAGTCGTTCCTGTGCTTGGAAGGCAGGCCCACTTTGCTGAGGCCCCCGGGGCGGGGGAAGGGAAGGCCGGCAGAGTTAGGACCTCCTCCATGGTAGGCACTGGCGAGGAGCCTCCAGACATGGCGCCTGCCTGACTGAGGGGCATGCTGCGCCGAGGTCACCTGCCCGAGGTCAGGAGCCCTGTGGGAACCACCCTCGGCCTCTCCCTCCGCTCGGGTCAGTGGCGAAGGGAGAGGGAGACAGGCGGGACATGCCTGGGGCCAGTGCAGCACCCTGCCGGCCTGCACGAGTGCCGGGCAGCTTGTGGAAGTCCTGGTGCCGGTCCCGCTGCCCTGCCAGTAGTAACGCCTGTGGCATCCTTCTCAGTAAGTCTCTCCCTCTGCCCGCCTCAGTTTGCTCGTCTGTAGAACAGGCTGGTGTACCTCCCCCCAGTGCAGTCACCTAAGGGGGGCTCACCTAAGAAAGACAGGGTTAGTGGGCTCTCTTCTCCGAGCCTTCGTCTCCGAGAAGGTGATGCTAGTGCTGATCTCACAGGGTTGGCATGAGACTCACTTGAGGTCACAGGAATACGGGTGCTGGGTTGCTGGGGACAGCCAACAGTTGGGACGTACCTGGCACTTTGTGCATTTTCTCCCCGACTCCAACCCCAGTGGGTCCCGTCACCCCCCGTGCACAGATGAGGGACACGCCCAAGAGCACATAGGTCCTGGAGGGGGCAGGGTCGCCCCAATTAGCCATCCAGAACCCTGGCCTGAACCGCGTGGTAGCCACCTGCACACACTTGACTCTCATTGTGTGTGGACCTCTTAGAGGATGACGTCCTATCACTGGTGTGCAGTTTGGTGGCTTTCACCGGGGACACAGCAGCCCCCACCCAGATCAAGAAGCAGCCTGAGCAGACCCGGGAGTCCCCACCGCCCCCCTAGTCAGCGCCCCAAGGGCAGCGCTCTGCCAACTTCTGACATCAGAGGGCCTTTGCTGCTTTGTGACCTGATGCGAGTGGGGTCGTGGTGCGCCGCCCGCCGTCGGACTCGTCCACTTCTGCTGTGCCACCACCGTCTGCTCTGTTCTCCACTGTTTTGTCTCAGTTGACCTGGGAGGGACTGGGACCCAGAGGGGCTCCTCGTGAGCCCCCTGGCCAGTCAGTGCAAGCCCCAGAGGTGGGCGGCCCTGGCGGGTCCCGTGGCCTCTGTGCTGCCGTCCCCTCGCGTCTGACGTGGGAGGTCTCTGAGCCAGGTCTTGTCTGTGCCCGTGCTCTGTCCCTCCCAGTCCCGGCTCTGCTCAGGGCTGCCCCTCCGCCTGCCATCACCCTGCCTGTGTGTCTGTCTGACCATGCACCTGTCCCTTCCTCCCAGGTTAGGCCAAAGACTCTGATTCCAGACAGCCTCCCCGTCACCCCGGGCCGGGACCGGCCACCCAAGCAGCCCCCCACATTCCAGAAGGCCACGGTGGTCAGTATCAAGAACCCCAGCCCAGCCCTCCCCACCGCCAACAACACCGTGAGCCATGTGCCAACGCCCGGCAGCCAGCCCCAGGCCCTCGCCGAGCCCGCCGCCATCACCTCTCCTCTGAGCAGTGCCGGGGTGGCCTACGCCATCATCTCCACCGCCCCCAGCAATGCCGCCATCACCCCCAGCACTGCCGTGTCCGCGGTCAGCGACAGCATCAAAGTCCAGCCCCTCCTCATCAGCGCCGACAGCAAGGTGAGAGTTGCCTGCACACGGGAGGGGCCCCCTGAATGAGGCCGGGGCAGAGAGAATGGCTGGATCGAGTGGCCAGGTGAAGGAATGGGGTTGAATGGACGAGTGAACGAATGGGGTGTGAGTGAGCAGTCTAGTGAATGAATCCGTGCATGAATGAATGGGGGGGGGGGGTGGTAGGATGAAGGATTAAGTGAATGATGAATCAGTGATAGCATGAATGGTGTATGTGAATGAGTGATCTAATGAATGAATCAGTGCGTGAATGATGGGGTACAGTGAATGAATATGTGATTGAAAGGATATGTGGGTGAATGAATTAATGCCAGTGGCAAAGGAATGATTGGTCAGTGAATGAATTCTTTCATTCATTGGAATAATTAACTAGCTGATAAACAATGTGGCCGGATGGATGACTGGGAGAGCCCAGGACTGATGATGGGTCTCTGCTGGCAGAGTTTGGGAGCCGAGAACTTTTTTGGACTCCAGGTGCCTGAATGGAAAATCAATGATTTCTTGCCACAATTGAAAACTAAGACTAAGGTCCTCCCCGGCTCCCCTCGGAGCTCCTTGGTGATGGTGCTGCTTGAGGCCTTTGGGGCTGCCTAGGAGGCACCGTCTCCTCCCTTTGGCCTGTTTCCCCTCCTCCCAATTCGGGGACCGCCAGGCTGCCTCTCTCTTCTTTACGGCCAGTGTCCCTGCTACTTCCCAGCCTGAATGTTGGTCCTCCCCTTTCGTGCAGCTGTGTAGTATTGCACACAGTGTCTTCTTGGGAGTGTTATACTCTCAAGCCCTCCCACCCAGGGACGGTACCCGGGGATGCTCAGAGCCTGAAGAGTTATTGCGGGCCAGGGCTGGATGGCAAGTTCCACGAGGAACCGTGCCCCCAGGACTGCGCCTGGTGCAGAGGGGCTGCCTAGCAGGTGTTTGCTGGATGAGTGTACCTGTTTCACTGCAGCCTCACCAGCGTGCAGTGTTGTCGTTTTCAACACTTCTTGCTTATTTAATTGGTGCAAACAGATGCTCCTTGCTGAAAGTTGAATTCCTACAGTTATGAAGTTTGAATGCTTTCCCTATACTTTTCAAGAATTCTGTGTAACTCATTTGAGGATATTCTTTGCCCTCTTTTCTACTGGGATCTGAATGTTTTTCTTCCCATGAATGTAAAAAGGAGGCATTTTTTTCCATCCAGAGAAATCTGGAGTTTTTAAATTGTGATACAGAGAAGAACAAAGAGCTTTCCCTTAAGCCAGGGGAAAAACAGAATGTATTTTCTCTTCGTGCTTAGGAGTCTCAAATTCACAAGATTGTCCCCACCCATTCTTGGTGGGGGTGGGGGAGTGGGACAAGTTCAGGTTGTTCCTGGCTTAGTCCAGACCCTGGCCGGTTGCTCCTGGTGAATTCCTTTGTCCTAGATCCATGAAAGATCATGATTCTTTCCCAGTTGCCTGTCCAAAAAAATAAGTAAGATAGTTCAGCCACAGATGGAGGGGATTCCAGCCCAGGGAGAGGCCGGGCTACAGAAGCCGACCTCAGACTTCTTAGCTTCAGACCTTTCGATCAAACCAAATGACAACCCTGAACCCCGATAAAGGCTGGCTGAAGTGGGGCCACTCCGGGTGTTGCTGAGCAGGGTCTGGAGCCCACCTCCCCTTACTCCACCCACCCCTAGGCTTGGCGGGGCCCCTCAGAGTGAGAAAAACAGGACCTCATTGCTCCCACCTGTCCACCCAGGCCAGGTTTGAGAGCCTCAGACACAGTGGCCTGGGGCCCAAGGGGCAGAGTGGGGAGTGGGCAGGCCAGGCAGTGCAGCCGACAGACCCGGGAAGGGTCCCAGCCCCTCTGCCACCTAACCTGGTGACCTCAGGCAAAGAGCAAGTCTGAGCCCTCTCGGCCTCCGTTTACCTGCATTTGAGCTGCAGATAAAGAAACCAACCTCTCTTGGATCTTGCTGCACGAATCTTCACAGCCTGCCTGGAGGCAGATATTTCAAAGGTTTTACTGATGAGGAAGATGAAGCTCAGAGAAGCAAAGTGACCTCCCCGAGGCCACACAGCTGGGAATCGGCAGCTCCAGAGTGAACCCAGGCCCTCCTGGCACCTGAACAAGGCCCGTTTCTCCTGAAGACTCTCCTCCTCACAGTGTAAAGGGCTGTGGGGAGGAGCCCGCCCCAGCTACAGGCGCCCAAAGACCGCAGAGTTAGGGCAAGCCGCCTCGTTCCTCTGTGATCCGCCGTTCCAGCCCGCACCCTCATGGGGCAGACATGCTTGGCCCTGGGCCCTCCCAGCTGCGCCCCCAGCCCCCCTCACTCCTCCACCGCGTCTTCCAGGTCATCATCATTCAGCCTCAAGTGCAGACGCAGCCCGAGAGCACGGCGGAGTCGCGGCCGCCCACGGAGGAGCCATCTCAGGGAGCTCAGGCCACCAAAAAGAAGAAGGAAGACCGGCCCCCGAGCCAGGAGAACCCCGAGGTAGGGTGCGTGGTCTGGGGGCCGCTGGAGGACGTGGCTTGTGGGGAGCGGGGATGGGCCTCAGTTTGGGATCACCGACAAGCCCAGGGCACAGCCGCCCTGTGCAGCAGGCACTCCGGGCGGGAGTCACTCACCGTTTCATCTCGTGGGTTTACTTGCTGAGTGGCGGTGTGGGGCAGTGGTTAGCACAGATTCTAGAACCAGGCTGCCTGCATTTGCCTCCCAGCACTGCCAGCTGATAGTGGAGTGATGGGGGCAGATCATCTGTAAAACGGGAGTGGAAGGTTTTCAGAAATCCTTCCTGGCAGCTTGTTAGGAGGATTCCATGAGTCAGTGTCTGCCAAGCCCCCAGGAAGAGTGCCTGGCTGTAGTCCCACCCATCCCTGCCCATTCCCAGGACCCTCCAACCGGGGGACAGTGCTGCTATTGGCAGCATGGCCCTAAGGCAGCCCTGCCTCTTCTCTCTGCCCAATCATGAGCGTCCGAAGGCCAGCAGGGCAGGACCCTGAATGCCTTAGAAGTCAGCTGCTGCTCAAGGCTGGCTTGGGAGATGCAAACGTGTCCTAAAGGTGCCTGTAGAACTTTCTAGAAGTTGCACATAGTGCCACGTCCCCTACGCCCACATGAAGGAGGAGGATGAACAGGGTCTTATGGCACCATCCTAGTGCATGTAACGTGCAGCCACCTGCACTAGTGGAGGTCTGAGAGTAGCAGCTAATTCAAGGCCACTCTGTGGTAACTTTTGGTGACCGCAGGTGACGGTCCTTCTGTTGCTGCTTGCGTCCTCGGCCATCCTAGGCCAAAATCAACCTGGGCCTTTTTCTGTGTGACTGCCCCCACCTGGCCCCCTTCTCTCTCCTACCGAAGCCCCGTTCATCCTACAAGATGCGCTTCAGACTTCCTCTCCTCCAGGCAGCCTTCTGACCACCCCACCTGCGGCAGGCCGAAGAGATCCCTCTGGGCCCCTTCAGCTCCTATGATTCTTTTTATCAAAGTGCTGTCATTATCAGAAGTCAGTCAGTCATCTGTTCATCCATTCATTCATTCATCAAGTGTATCCTAGAGTTTGCTCTACTCTGGGCTCTGTGCTGAGGGTGGGGACGCCGAGATGGGGCAGGTGTAGTCCTGGCCCTGGGGAACCGCACTCCTACTGGCAGAGACAGGAGCAGGCACTAGGACTAGAACTTGGGTTTAAAAATATCAGATGTCATCAGAGAATTACAGATTCAGAGCTCTGGGAGATCCAGGGAGAGGGATAGGGCGTGTTCCACCTGGAAGGACTGGGGGTGGCTCTGCAGAGGAGGGGCATGATCAGCAGGGACTGGAGGGACAGGTGGGGTTTCAACAGAGGGACGAGAGGCAGGCGGGATGGCAGTCAGGTGGAGGTACTGCCTGGGCAATCATGTACAAATTGGGAAGGACTCGGCACCCCGGGAAATTCAGCTGGCCTATTTGGACTACATGAGAATTTCTAGACACGAGGCTAAAGAGACCTCGGAGCTGATCCAGAGGACCTAGATGCCGGCTACTGAGGTGTAACTTTATTCCTTGGTTAGTAGGGAGCTATGGAATATCTTTGAGCAGGAGAGTGACTTGATTATTGTCCTTTCACATGTCCAGAAATCCTGCTGGGGATTCATAGAGTCGACCACTCATGGAGGCTGAGATAGGACCAGGTCTCCTTTGCAGCCCCAGGTCCAATTTTGTCTCGAGAGAGAGAATCATTTTCTTCCGAGGCAACATGTGAGCACCTACTGTGTGCATGGGGAGGTCCGGGGTGAGCTCACAGTCCATGGCTCCCATGAACACTCTCTGTCCTCCATGGGGTTTTGCTGCCCCCTTAACATCCGGGAAGGTTTTCTGGGTGGATTCTCTTTGTTCTTTCAAAGTATATCTTAGTCAATTATTGAGCATTTATACAATTAGTATAATTACATCTAACGACATAATTAGCACAAATACGTGTAATGACTTAAATAGAACTCGCAATTACAACACATCCTCATGTAAAAATCCTTATTAAAGTTTCTTTTCAAAGAGGGCTGGGAGCGGTTGTGCCGTGCACACGCGGGGCCGTTGTGGCGGCCTTTGAACCTGTTCGTGAGGCTCTAAATGAAGAGCCCTTGAGGCCGGAGCAGCAGCTGCCCCAGACACCGTCAGATGAGCCGGTCGGGAGCCCCAGGGCTGTGGGCGTGGATTTTTTGTAAAGAAACACTGACTGGTGTTTCCGTAACACCACTTGGCTCAGCTGTAACGTGGCTTGGGGGGCAACGGCTGGCAGCTCCCGTCGGCCCTCCTGCAGCCCGTGGCGGCCAGCCTGGTGGGTGCCCAGTGGTGCTGACACGGCACAGGACGTGCAGTGGAAGGGAACAGCAGTTTACCAGCACCCAGAACAGCTCCTGGGCGCTGGGATAGGAATATTCCAGTAACTCTTGGACCCCAGGACGCACCTGGGAGGAATTGCAGATCATGATAGTGACCCCAGGAGCATTTACCGCTGGCCAGGTGGAGCTCAGCATGAGTCAGATTCCGTCCTCACAGTGAGCGATGTGTGCGCTGGGGGTCATTGTTAACCTCTTGTACAGGTGGGGAAACTGAGGCCCAAAGGCAGTGACCCTCAGAGGTGGGAGCCACATCCCTGCAGTCTGGCCCTGGAACCTGCGATCCTAAGTTGTATGCCCTGCTGGCCTCCTCTGTCTCGGTCACGCTGAGGGAGGGTCAGGTTTGGGGCCAGAGCTGAACTACTCGGGGCAGCCATGGAGAGGCTGACTGCTATCCCAGGATCTCTTCCTTCCCTGATTTTCCCACATGCAGCTCCCAGCCTTTCCTACAAATAACAACTATCAGTGTGAAAGGGTCCCTATTACTTACCTTCCCAGGGGGCCTTAAGGCTGGTCTCACCCCCCACCAGGGCCCCCTGCACTTCCAAGAGATTCCCGAGGGTCAGTGAACCATGCGGACTGTGTTATTGTTCTTACATCTCTCTTTGCTTTGGCTGCTAGGGAGCTCACAGCCAAGTCTGTGACTGACCTCTAGCAATTGTGTAAGGCCTCTGACCTGTGGTATGAAGCCAGACCTTATCTAGCTTCCTCTTATTTTCCTAAGTTTATTTTCCCTCCTCTTTATTTCCTTGTCTATTTTGTTTTATGTTTGAATGTGTTGTATATATGCACACAATCCTTTATTTTGGAATCAGAATGGTTATCAGTAATTAGTGCTAATCTCTCAGGTGTGTTTCACTCTTCCTGTTATTAAAGTCAAAACCTCTGAAGGACCAGTTCTAGCTTCCTTTTGTGTGGCTGAGACTGCCCCACTCACTTCTGAAGGACATCACTGACCGTGTGCCCAGGGGTCCCGGGGCCCTGACATCCTTACACACCCACTCTGCCCCAGGCGTGTGCGGGCGCCTTATGTACGGCTTCCCTGTTGAACCCACACAGCCACCCACGGAGGTGGGATCATGTCCCCTATTTTAGGATGTGCAAACCCCAGGCTCAGAGCAGCCAAATGCCTTGCTCAGGGTCATACCAGGAACTTGAGAATTGAGCCTACCAAGGCCTCTGACTTCCCAGTCTTTGGCCTTTCTGCAATCCCACGGGTGCCTCCTGATTTTGGTGATCATAGATCACTTTTGTGTGAGCACGTACCGCAAAATGACAACTACAGAAATACATAGAAAATGAGAACCAAAGAAAACCACTTAGATGGGAAGGTTGAGGCCGGGGCAGATTCGACCACAGTCAGCGTGGCTCTCAGATCGTCAGCTTGGGCTGGAGCTTACCCGGGATTTCCTGCGACGTGAGTGAAATGTCAGGGTGGATGTGGTTTGTAGCAGGGCTGGCCGTGTCTGTGACATTCACACGCAGGGCATCGTCTGAGCCTCACGGCGGCCCCGTGAGACAGGCAGGGAGATGAAGCTTGGGCACATGGTGTGACGGTGCCCACCCAAGACACTGCGGGGACAGGGGGCAGTAACCCCAGGTCTTTGCCGAGCCTTTCCAGCTGACTGTGCTCTCCTCCTCTCCTGTGGCCTTGCAGCGGCTCTGCTAAGTGGGGCAGGATTTACAGTTTTCATTTTAGAGGAGGAGACTGAGGCTCAGAGAGGCCGGCCGAGTTCACCATCACAGGGCTGTGTGCGAAGCCCACACAGAACCTGGGCTCCTGGCTCCTGACCCCAGGCTCTGTCTGCTCCTCCCTGTCTCAAGGCCCATGCCTTCTTTAGGGCAGAGCTGTGGCCTTCTCTGTGTCACCCATTATTCTGGCCTCTGGTAGCATCTGACCCAGCTGGCCACCCGCAGGTTAGCGTGTGCCCTGTGGAGGGGCAGGCAGGGCAGGAGTTCAGCCCCATACGAGCCCCGACTCCACGCCAGCACCGGCTGCCTCTGTGGGTAAGGCCTGTGCACCTGGATGCTCCCTCTCTCCACGCTGTCCCTGGTGCCACAGCCCTTGTTTCTTCACCATCTCTCCCCAGACTCCTGTTCCCAGCCCCTGGATGGGTTCCTCTCTGTCTATTCACCCTACACCTAGAAGGATCTTTCTAAAATTCAGAAATAACCAAGTTATCCCCCTTCTTGATCCATCAAAGCACAACCCCCCGTCGGGCTGGCTCCCTGTGCTGCAGACCCTCAGCAACTACAGATGAAAGGTGGGAAGAGGCAGGAAGGAGGAAGCTGGGCGTCACTTTTGTCCCAGAAGCACAGGCAGCGAGCAGGACTGATGCCCCAGGCCTGGGCTCCAGGTTCAGAATCGGACTGGGGGACCGGCAGGGAGGGCAGCTCACGCAGGGCAGTGGTCCCGAGAGTTCTTGAGCGAGAGAGGAGTGGACCCAGGCTTCTCTGCTTGTGTGGGAGCCAACCTGTTCCCAAGGCCATAGCTGAACCGCGGGGTGGGGGGTGGGCAAGGCCCAGGCGATTGCAAACCCGCTAAAGAGGAGGGATCAACAGAGGGAGAGAAAACGAAAAGAAGTTGTGCCCAAAATGAGCCTGTAGACAGGATCCTAA